TTAACTGGAGTGGCTTCGAGTGCTGCTCTAATTAAAGTGCCTCCTACTATTTTTAAGCGCTGATACACGGGGTGCAGGAGGCTCCTGGAGCATGGTAATTGCCAGGTTCCAGCAGACCCAATTAATCGAGTCTGCTCTGATGTGCTGGAATTCCAGTGAGTTGGAGCAGCCTCCACGCTCGTGTATAGGCGCTCCATGTTCCACCAGACCGTGTCATATTCAGTGAACAGAATAGACAGTGCTCCAAATTGTTTCATAGTTTCATAGTTTTAGGGTTGGAAGGGACCTAATAGTTCTTCTAGCCCGACCCCCTGCCAGGGCGGGAGAACAACAAAAGAACCCTAAACAAAAAACGGGACTCAAATGAGTCCAGCCAGGTAGGTATCCAGCCTCTTCTTAAAGATCCCCAGGGTAGGGGCCAGCACCACCTCCCTTGGAAGTTGGTTCCAGCTCCTAGCCGCCCTAACTGTGAAGTAGTTTTTTCGGATGTCCAATCTGTACCTCCTCTCCATCAACTTGTGCCCATTACTCCTTGTTATGCCAGCGGGGGCTAGGGGAAACAGCGTCTCCCCCAAACCCTTCTGGTTCCCCCTAGTGAGTTTATAGACGGTCACCAGGTCCCCCCTCAGCCTTCTCTTGTGGAGGCTGAATAGGTTCAGGTCCCGCAGTCTCTCACTGTAGGGTCTGCCCTGTTGTCCCCGGATCATGCGGGTGGCCCTCCTCTGGACCCTCTCCATGTTGTCCACATCCCTCCTGAAATGGGGCGCACAGAACTGGACACAATACTCCAGCTGCGGCCTGACCAGCGTCGCATAGAGGGGGAGGATCACCTCCCTGGCTCTACTCGAGATGCACCTGTGGATGCACGACAAGGTCCGGTTAGCCCTGCCAACCATGACCTCGCATTGTCGGCCCATGTTCATCTTGGAGTCAATAATGACACCAAGATCCCTTTCCGCCTCCGTGCTCTCAAGTAGGGAGTTCCCTACAGTGGTGGTGTATGGGATGGGATGCATGCGTGGAGCCGTGTGGCTGTGTGCACGTGTGTGTGTGTAACATTAGGCATCAGGTCCTGGTGTGAAGGTGTTTGTGTGTAATGGTGTGGGCAGGGGGACGCAGACGTGAGGCAGTGTGGCAGGGTATGCGTGTGCTGGCTGAGGGGCAGCTG